TTCTGGTGTGGTTGTCCGGTGAGCGCGCACCTGTCTGTGGGTGGCCGCGGTTGAAAAGTCGCTGGAAAGTGGTCCAAACAGTGAAGACATATCTGATTGGAGGCGGTCGGAGGTGTTTCGGTCGTTTGTGGCGGAGGAACAGTGCGTAGAATGATAGATCGGAGGAAAAATAAGGTCAACAATAGTCCCCTTGGTCCAAAAGGTCCCCGGAAAAATTTTCCGGTGGCGGCTGATGGCGGCAAGAGGCAAAGAAATTAGGATTTTGTTAAAAAAGAAGATAATATGTGCGGAAGCAAAGCCCTCAGATCGAGAGCTCTGATACCAACTTGAAAAAGGGTATTCTAATATATTATAAAATTGTAAATAATCTGTACAAAAGGTTCTCTATTTGTAGAGAATATTTGACCTAATTTTAACCTAATGGGCTTGGCCCAATACAACAAATAAATGACTAAATAATAACTAAATAATAACTAAATAATTATTATTTACAACAATTAGCTCTAATTATTCGCAAAACCAATCAATTAGGTATATATTATCATGTTACATCTCTACGTGGATGTTATAATTATTACTGAATATGATTTAATCACCATTTTGAGATGAAAGATCTTGACCCTCTTAGCTATTTTTCTTGGGTCTTGAAGGACTTTCCACTAGTAATGTATGTTTTTTTATCTCAAACCTAATATGACACCTAAATTGATGATCTGATATTTATCATCACTAGTTAATTCGTAGTCTGATTTATCTTATACTAATTTGGCTTAATATGTATATCCCCTATGCTGTTCATTTGGTAAGCTGGTTTATAGCTACCTCTGGCCCTGGCTTATATATATATATATATATATATATATATATGGGGAGGGTTCTTTTGACTCCAGAGTAAGACTTTTAAGTCTTACTCCCCATCTCAGCCGTTGATGAACGGAAATCAACGGTTGTCATTTATGGTGTAATTAATAATTAATTAATTAATTTAATTTCTTAAACTATAACCGTTGGATGGACGGAAATCAACGGCTAGGATGAAGAGTAAGATTTATAAGTTTTACTCTGGAGTCAAATGATCTCTCCCCTATATATATATATATATATATATATATATATATATATATATATATATAACTGTTCTTCACATCATCCGCTATAGAATAAAATCTTTTTTGATCCCTAACAAAAAATACGGTCCCCACTTTAGTTCCTTACAAAAATAAATTAGTCAGTTAGTCTCTAACAAATTCAAGGTGGACCCATTTTAGTCCTTTTGAGGGATTAATATAGATCTTTTTTGAATTTGTGAGGGACCATGATTTTAACTAAATGGGTCCACTTTGAATTTGTTAAGAACTAACTGACTAATTTATTTTTGTAAGAGACTAAAGTGTGAACCGTGTTTCTTGTCAGGGACTAAAAAGCTGTATCAAAAGACAATTTTTCATGGCCTTCATTTCTCTATTGACTTTCCTCTGATTCTACAAGCCTATTCAGATACGGATTCGGGTGGATATTTTGCTGATTATTGTTTTACTACTTGTCATTGCATTTTTCTTGGTAATTTTCGTATTTTCTGACTTTGTATGAAACAAACCCCATAACTCATTTTAGTGATGAAGCCAAATATCGTGCTTTTACTGACACTACTTTTAAGAATGATCTCTAGATCTCCCTTTACATCCTTGACTAGCCAGCCAATATCTTTCACCAAGGCATTTGACATATTCTTATTTCCAAACTCAAAATATTTCCTTCCACACTTATAACTGAGTTTGTGAGAGATATTGGTAAGGGAGTAAATCAATTGGGTTACGCTAAGCTTTCACTTAAAATAGATTAAGTTTATGTAAAATATTTGAATCTAATTTGATCTATTAATTTGGTATAAGCTAAATTATAAACTTAATATGACCTATATATTTAAAGGGAAGAATGCGTTTACAATTTTTTTTTACAAATTATACTAAGTATGATCGGTCATATACTCTTGATTGAAGTATAATCGGTCATACTTAATATAGTTTGTAAGAGTTTATAAACAAAAAATTTGTAAATATAACCTTCCCCAAATATAAAAATCAAAAGGCTTGACTTAGGTTGATTGTTTAAGTCTATCAAACTTTCAATTACCTATCAGAATTAGAAAAAATAATTAAAATAATTTTATTTTATTTAAAATAAATAATATTATAAGTCGGGCCTTGTAAGAAAATTTATAATCTATTTTTTAAATAGATTTTTTTTTATTTGAATTTGTTCTATTTTATTAAATATACTAGCTAGGTTAGACCTAACTTGACAGAAGTTAGGCTGCCTGACATATTTACAATAGTAGATATTAGTGTAATTACATCATTTAACATAATGACCATAATGACCTCATTTAATGTAAATTGTAATAAATTATTTATATGTATATTCCAATATTTTCTCTTTTTATTTCTATTTTTTCATAGACCTATAAATACGTGTAATTCCTTGTTTTACACATGATTAATATATAGAGTTTCCCTTCAATTTCCCTCTTTTTAACTCCGTTTTTATTTTTCTCATACAATCATATAATTAAAAGAAGAGGAAAAAGAAATCATCTCTTTCTTTGCAGAATGCTACAAGATTGCAATAGAAGGAGGGATGATAAGAAAAAGTAGATCCAGTTACCCGAAGTCCAAACCCATTTTGTTCACCTTTACCTGCAGATAAAATAAAATAAAATAACATCTGAGCATATAAGTAGTTGTAACTTGTAAGTGAAACTTTCGTGATTCATGGATTGTGGGGGAGATAACTGGGTGTTGTCTGAAAGGGCAGAACTAGCCAGTCTTTTACACTTTTGCCCTTCTATTTCAAGTTCATCAAGAACCAACAAAAGGAAATAAAAGATTGCGGAAAAAGGATTCGTGAAGTAATTAATATTTTTAATTAAATACATAGTCACCCTTAGCAATATACAGTGTGCAAATTTTACGTAATTAGTGTTTTTAATTAAATTTTAAAGTAATTATGAGTCAATATGTGAAGTGAAAAATATTTTCTTTTGGATATTAAGTGAAAAATATTTTCAGTGCTACAAAAGTACCGAGTACTTTCTGCATCCTTTATTAAATATGAAAAAAATTAACTTATTTACATTACTCCAGTTTTTATGGTTATTTTTTTCATAATTTTTTTTTTTCCTTTTTAGCAGGAAAGTAAATACTTTCGTAGCACACAAAATGTTCTCCCGTGAAGTGCATCAGGATTCCAATTGTTCCAATCAAAAGTTAGCAGGTCAAAAGTGCATGCATAATATGTATTACCACTTTAGCTGCAGACTTGTTATCTATATTTTTGTAGTTCTATATATATCATCCATCATCAATATTCTTAATAGAGAAAATTGGTACTAATTTGCTCTACTTTTTTAGGCTTAGGGGGGCTAGATACTAAGATAATGTTACGTAATATCATGGAAGCAAAAAACAGGGCAGATACATCAATTGTTATCTATTCCTACTGTCAGATTTTATTATTTATCATTTCAGACTTCAATTTCCAACATTAACATGAGCTACTTAGAAATTAGTGCTCACTTTGATTCATATACATTTCATTAGATTTGTTCAAAATTTCTAACAAAACTGAGTCAATCTTTAAAAATTAAATATTAGTTGTTTTGGTTTGCAAAATTTACATTTAATAAATAAATAAAATAAAATAAAAATCCTCAAAATAGTTGATGTTTCTTTCTTTCCTCTTTGTCAATCCTCACGTGCATGTTCGAAATAACTTTAATTGCTCGCTTCATTCGGGTTTGAAAACAATATCGTTCAGCACAAGATAAAAAAAACCCTTTATAATATCCACCTTTTTAAGTTCAAAGAATTCCTACGGGCCTTCACTTAACTGTTTAATATGTTAGGTGCCATAGTATTCTATTATATTCACATGGGGAATGATTCGTTTACAAACTTTTTTAAAATTTTATAAATTACACTATGTTCTTTCGGGAGAACATAGTGAAATGAGTGTTCTCCCGAAAGAAGATAGTGTAGTTTGTAAACAAAAAAGTTTATAAATATAACCTGTCCTATTCATATATGTCTATATATATCGATGGCCACCATTCCATCAACAAGAAACTTTGTCAAGCATTGATCTTGGTGTTATAGATGTCTTTTCCATAGACCAACTGGCTAGTTCATATGATTTGAATAAATAATTTACGCATTCAACTTGAATCCACAAGGAGAGAGAGAGAGGGGGGGTTTCCACTCGAAAGTCCGAGACATGCAACAAACATTCACGTTGAACCTTTCTCTCTAGGGGTCTCCGTCCAAGTTAGGATTCCAGTTAACTTAACAACGGTCTTTATACATAAGTGAACTAATTAATTGTTTATACTAACTATCCATGATTAACAGCTGTATTAGAACTCGCATTTGAGTGTGAAAACTTGATGAGTACTTCAGATTAATTAATTAATTAATTACATATATCTACGATTATAGAATACGTTATCTAAATATATAAAATTAAAGAGTCAAATGTGGACGTAGATACTACACAACTGCGTGGATTGCCAACCTATCACGCGCCTCGGCGGTGGTTGACCACCGCCTTCTATTTATATTTATATTTGGAAACATTTAATTTCGTCACTTACCCTTACTTGCCCTTTTGTTTGACTTCATTTGCTCCCCTAAGACATTTAAAATGACTCGAATATCATAGGCTAAACTTGTAATTTACATATGAAGTATATCTTAATATTATATATATGTTAATCTACATGGATGAAGTGGTTTCTAACTTTCTTCTTAGTACATCAACCCAATAATATTTATTATTATCAATTCATACTTTACAAGAAGGACATGTGCATCTAGCTATACTACATTAGGCAAACAACTTTTAATCTCACAGGCCATTATAAATAAGAAATTTTAGGTTCATTCTCTTAATCATCAAAGACAAAATAAACATAATCTCTGTTTCTTTGGCTTGTCAGTATTCAAATCTTCCAAATGGGGGGTACCTCACCTTGTGCTTCCTGCAAATTGTTGAGACGACGTTGCACAAAGGAATGCATCTTCGCTCCTTATTTTCCTTCCGATGACCCTCGCAAGTTTGCCATTGTGCACAAGGTCTTTGGTGCTAGCAATATCAGCAAAATGCTTCAGGTCTCTCTAACTCTTCTTTACCTTTCTCTCTCTTTCCTCTATCAAAATTTATCTGTATATATCATAGGAAAATGTTATATTAACAATTTTTTTTTTTACAAACTTACAAACTACACTAAATCTGACTAGTTATATATTCTTGATTGAAGTCTCACTGGTCAGATTTAGTGTAGTTTGTAAATTTGTAAAAAAAAAAAGTTTGTCAATACAACCCCTCCCTATATCATATATGTAAAGTAACTTGAGAAATTCTTAAGTAAGAAATTTCTACTATATATGTATTCAACATGTTTTTAAGGTTATGTAAGCCATGTACACAAATGTATCTAAAAAAATACGTTTACTCAAACTGTTGATTTGAGTATTTGTATTGTGCTATGTATAGTGTAGTGGCTATTCAAGATTTTCTCTATGTATTCATGTGGATGTTAGGTGAAGTCAAATAAATGATTCTATTATATCTATTAACAAGTACACATCGATCCCTCGTGGAAAAACTATTTAGAGTTGGAAGCAAGAATAATGTACATGTTCTTATTTTTTCAACTTTGTGTTTAGATTTAGTTTTTTTTTTTTTATCAGAAGAATAGTAACAATAATCAAACTCTAGGTCACTTGGTCTATTATCGTAGTCTCTAATATTATCTCACACAATCAAATTTAAGCTTTTAGAAAAATTGTTTCATGACAAGCATCCCTCTATTGATCTTGGTTGTGCAATAGGGTTTATTTAATTTATATATGTTACTCTTTGATATATGCAGGAGCTTCCAGTTAATCAAAGAGCAGATGCAGTTAGCAGTTTAGTTTACGAGGCAAATGCAAGAGTGAGAGACCCTGTGTATGGATGTATTGGAGCCATATCATACCTTCAAAACCAAGTTTCACAATTGCAAATGCAGCTTGCAATGGCTCAAGCAGAGATTCTCTGCATCCAGATGCAGCAAGAACCTACCTTACCCTCGCAGCTAGACCAAGATGACAAATCGCTGTTCTTATCTGACAACTATAATAACTACGATATCCTTCCTCAGTATCTCAGCTTTCCTTCATCTTCTTCCTCATCTTCCAATGTATTCCAAGACTCTGAGCCTCTTAAGAGAGAGTCTTTTTGGACTTGAATCTATAACAATCCTCAATGAATTTTAACTTAACTGTTTTATTTTCGGGTTTTATTAATCTCATGTTAAAGGAGATAAGTTATCTCATGTCATAGAAACAAACTTGTGGGACAGTTATCGAAGAGTGTGTAGGAAAAAATACTTATCTCATGTAACATGAGAATAGTTTTACGTGGGTCTAGTCAGAATATACCTTTGTCTCTTACAAACATATGCTTAGTTAATTGCTATCTTAATCTAGACGTTGATACTGATACACAGAAATTTACGAGAGGAAAAAAAACAAAAACATAAAAGTTTGAATCTCGTTCTCGCAATTCCTGAAAAGGGTGGAAAAAGGCACAAATCCGAAACTAGATTAATCAAGTTTTTAGGACTTCAAACATTAACTGGTATATAAATTTTTTTTGATAATTGTTAAATGGATTTAATGTCTCTTATATTGTAAGACATAAAATTATTTTCTACACATACATAATGTGTAGGGTCCATTTTTTTCTCTCTTTTATTGACATTGCCCTATATATATTTGTATGTGTATATAAGAGATAATTTTATCTTATATAAAAAACATTAAATCCTTTTAAAATTAAGGAAAATGAAAAGAATAAAAAAACGAGGAGAATCGTGATGTACGGGTCAAATGCTGCATGTGCCATTTGTCGTGCAGTTGTTGAAGACTTAATCACAACTATTTTGTTCTCATTCACGAATTTAATACTCTTTGTTGGCTAATATAATGTTCATTTAACACTATTTAAAATCATAATGTTAACATGGATTACTGCCATGGCAAGTTTGTTGGAAAACCAAGTCAACGATGTTCAGTGGCTGTAAAATTTTACATTATATGTTATCAAAAAAAAAAAAAAAAAATTTACATTATATATTTATTTTAATAAAACAAATTTGTTGACAAGTGGTGGAGATCATCTTCTCGGAAAAAAATTCAGTGCTCCCTGTGTATGAATGACTAAGTGGAACGGGCCAATTGAAATAGAGCAATAGCTATGATTGTGTACGAAAAAGAGGAGAAGAAAATATTAATCCAAATATCAATTTCTTAATAAAAAGGAGCATATACATCGGGAGAACTGAACTTTTTCTCCATCTCACATAGATGCTAAGCTTAGCAATGGTGTTAAGAACTTGGACACTCTCACCTCTTGAGCTAATTTTTGGGGTAATGACTTAAGGTTCTTAATATGGTATCAGAGTCTCGTTGTCCCTCACTTTCTCTTGTGGCATTTCTTAGCACAAGTAGGCTGGGCCTGTTACATTGTCCACTCTTCAAGCCCAATGAGCTCTCGTGTGAGGGGGCGTGTCTCACATTGGTTGTATGTGCAACTAATGTAGAGTTTATAAGGTCTTGAGCACTCCCACCCTTTGAGCTAGCTTTTGGGGTGGTGTATCCCAAGATTCCTTACAAATGGAGCTTGTGTAAGTTTTTGCACAACCTTTAACATCCTTTAAAATAATACTTAATTTGCCAATCGAGTTTCGGCACAAAGTCTTCACCCTTTTCACAAGAATAATTTAGAATATGCACTTTATTCATTTCATCTCATATTTAAAATAAATTTATATTAAAATTAATTACATTTTATAATAAAGTATTACTTAATGGGGTTTGCATTTGTCATTTAACATGACACAACAAAGTTTCCTACACACACAACATTTTGTGGGCTCACACTTTTTGAAAAAAAAAGAAAAAGAAAAAATTACGGCACGCAAAACGAATTTCTATAACATTACACAATCATTTTTCCTACAACATAACTCTTGTAAAATCCTTACTTAAGAGGGAGCATATCTTTGGTACTACTATAGTATGTACTTCTTTACTAAAAGTAGAAAATGATGATGTTTGCGGAGAAAATAACCATACAAGGAAGGGTAAAATAGTAAAAATATATATTATATTTTTGAGTAAAAATGATACACCGAGTCTTCAGTATTACTAGTGTAGATATTTCCCTTAATAGGAATGAATAAATAATTTGTTAATAACTAGACGATGCTTATTTAAATGCGAGTTGCAGGATGTGAATTAAAGTGCCCGTTTGACTCAAATTCCACATTCAGCCTATACCCACCTGCTGAAACATTATTGTACCTTGAATTCTTGAAATGTCTTGCCCCACTATTGAGCAGATTTTAAACCTATCACGTAGAGGGTGAGGTGGATTGAGCGCTAGCTAGGAAGGTAGGATGAGCACTTGCGAGTCACGTGAGATTGCAAAACCTATATATTGATGCAAAGAATTTTTTTTTTCTAGAATTAAATTTAATATTGATATGTTTTCCCTCAAGATGGGTACGCCTAGGATATAAAGTAATATATTTTTTCTGAAATATCATAATACCCATCTTTAGATTGGGTTATTTCAATTCTTAAGAAATATATGAGTCTTTCAAGATTCTTTATATGAAAATTTAGAAAAAGAAAAAATAAATAAATTGTATTTCACTAGAATTAAACTCTTTTTAAGTATTGCCTAAAAAAATTATTTGCTATTATAACACGGAATTTTTTTAAAATATTATTATTTAAATAAAAAATTAAGAAAATAAGAAATTATAGCATTCTAGAATTAATTTATGAATTTATAGCAATCAGTGGCGCCCAAAACAAGTGTGGCAGGTCGCGTCCAAATAAAGCGCATTAGAGTGTTTGGTTGGGCGCGACTCATCCGGTGATGACACTTGATAGTCAAAAGTCAACAATTTTAGCATAAAACTTTGAAATACCATAACTTTTGACTTGAGTGTCTGAATGAGGTGATTCTTTTTTTGATTTCATGTAAATTTTTGAGATTTACGCACTAAAAAAATACTCGAATGGGATTTGGTCAAAAAAAATTCCCAAAAAATGCTTCATTGTACCCTGTTTGGCTTATTTTATCTTTATGAATGTGAATGATGTTATTTAAGTTGAAGTTTGAGTTGAAGTTCTGTCTCCCACAAACACAGTTTGAATTTGCAACAATGGTGTCATAACCACAAGAGTGTTTAAACCCAGAAGCCCCTGAACCTACATGATGAGCTACAACACGTGCCATCAATTTCATGGCCTAGTTTTCTCACTCCCTATCTCCTCAATAGGATTACTTCCTTGTCTCTTCATCTCTTTTACAAGAACTTCATCATCTGCGTCTATTACCCTGCTATGATGGTTCCACCAACTTCCATTAACCTAAGCCAACAATTTGGCACTCATTTTTCAGTAACAAGATCAGTACTCTAGGACTTTTTGTAAGAAGAAATATTGTTGTCCTTTGTTGCCTATGTGTGGGATGGAAAGGAAACCACTCTGATGATTAGAAACATCCCTAGCAAATAAATGTATGTTGTCCTTTTTTTGGAAAAAATTTTGGATGATAAAATGCCCTTGTGGTGGCACTATTGTTGCAAATTTAAAAATAAAATTTGGAATTTTTTTTGACCAAATCTCCTTCAATGAGATTTCATTGTGTAGATATCAAAAATTTATGTGGAATAAAAAAATACCTGATTTTAACACTCGAGTTAAAAGTTATGACCTTCCGAAGTTTTAAGCTAAAACTGTTGTCTTTTGACTATCACGTGTCATCATCGGGTGAGTCGCGCCCAGATTGGGCACAACCAAGCACCCTAATGTGCCTTATTTGGACGCGACCAGTCACTCCTATTTTGGACATGATTGATTGCTATAGATCTTGTTATTGAATATATCTATATCCTAACTACCTACCAATAATGTGCCTTATTTGGACGCGACCAGTCACTCCTATTTTGAACATGATTGGTTGCTATAGATCTTGTTATTGAATATATATATATCCTAACTACCTACCAATGAATCCCTTAATAGATAATGACTCAATAATCTAAACAACATGAAACAATAAAGATAATGAAAATAAAACCCCTATCCCTACAAATAAGGAATAATTTTAAGTACTACAGTAGCACCCACTGCTCTGTACTACTTCCATACGTTTCATGACACATGCCAAAAAAAAACCCATGTCACTTTACTACTTGGCATTGCAAATTTAACTTTTAATAACTTTTTACCCAACGCTCCTTAACTCCCCCACTTTTTTTTTTTTTTGGTATGCTCCCACTTCTTTCATTTTTCTCAGTTTTCTCTCTCGTCTTTTCCATCTTCTTTCTCTTTTATTTCTCTTTAACACCGTTCACATATTCCCCTGTTAAAAAAATGAAAAAAATAAAATAAAATCAAGACGTTTCCTTCGTCTCAAACAATTACAGACACATTTCTATGCCTTCCCAAGGAGCTAGGATTATCAGAAAAAGATAAACTAAGTTTTTATACCAAAAGTTTCAACCAATTCAACTCCCATTTTGTATAGTGGTAAAATCTTTACCAAGGAGCATTTCCTTTTCCACTTCCACAGCATTTGTTTGATGCCATGAGAATATCATAAAGACAAACCACAACCAATTACTGATTTTTGTTCCAGATTGTTTGTCTACCATACCCTTGGTAACGACCCTGATTGGATTTCATCTCCAGATTTGTTTCTTTTAATCTTCTTCGAAGGAGATGAAAAATCGGTGATCTCGCTAGCGCTCTTCTGAAACCCTAGTGCACAACCTAATAACAGAGAATTAAAGTAAATAACATTTTGTATCTCTATATATTATAAGCAAACTCCAAAAGCGTTCGAAGGAGGAAGATGAGAACCACGACAGATGAGATTCCAACGAATTTGTAATCAAGATTTCAGGAGAAAATTTTATGTTTAAATTGTATCTCTATATATTATAAGCAAATTCCAAAAGCGTTCAAATTTTTGTTCAAAGGAAATGAAAGACAGTGGGAGATAAATCAAAGAAGAAGAGAAGGCAGATGTACGGGAGGAGGGAGGAAGAAGGCAAGTGAAATGAAAGACGGAAGAAGAAGCGAATCAAAAAGACGAAAAATTAAAACGGAAATAAAAATTAAAAATTTTAATGCCAAGTAGGAAAGTGACGTGGACTTTTTTTCC